GAAGTATTGATCGAACAATCCAGCTGAAAAGATCAGTTAAGCTAACTCGCCCAGCTGCCGGGTAGTGGTACCAGCTCGACCTCAGCTGCCCGGAAGTAACACCAGCTCGACCAGTTGTTTGGAAGCTCGACCAGCTGTACGGTAGTCGAACAAGTTGTGATGTTCACTCACCGAACGAGCTAATTGGGCAGTGACCAGAGGAAGAGCGAACAGTTATCGGTGAAATGGTGCGAATGGAAGGATTCAGCGAATCGGTGCGAGTGAAAGGTGCAGCGAACAGGTGCCTTTTCGAACGGAAGGGTTTGGCCGAAACACTATAAATAGTGGGTCTCGCCCTCAGTTTTGGACACGTTCGGAAATCGGGAAATACTTATATTCTTGAAGTTATCTTCGAGAGAAACACTAAGGAGAGTCGGAATCCGATAAAAGGTTAATACCGGAGACCATAAGATCGGTTGTGGGGTGCATATGGGTTCGGTAGTTGCATGAGCATGATCATATGCATAACTTTGTCCGGAAGGATTGTTCGGAGAAAAGTGGACGCGGCTCGGCGAGTGGAATCATTGATGATACTCGACCGAACTGATGCGCGGACTACCTCTCTACCGAACATTCGAACGGGCAGAGTTGCTAGTGTAACTTGCATGGAAAACGATGGTGATTAAGTGAACATGTTACTGATTTCCTATGTGGTTTCAGGGAAAGAAGGTGATCGAGGGGATAAAAGGGCTTAGGCGCGAGGACTCAAGGCCGGGAAGATGAGTGGTGATGGATGCTGGGTAGTTAGATCGATTATACAACTTGTAATAGCCTATATGCAAACTCATAAGTTGTATCGAATCCTTACTTATTAATAAAGTATTTGAATGGTTATTTTACTCCCTATTTGCATATGACTCTAAGTAATGAATCTCAGAATTATTATAAATGGATTGTCTAAAGAATGGGCCCTAAAACTTGGTTAAGTATGGAAAGTTGTTATTAGTTCGAAAGTAACCTCTCCGGACTTAGATTATCCAGGATGGGTCTTTCAGTCGTCTTACGAAGCATTGTATGGTCGAGCGTGTAGGACGCCTTTGTGCTGGACACCAGTCGGAGAACGCACCTGTTTGGTCCGGAGATTATCGACGAGACAAATGTAAAGATCAAATTTTTAAAGATAAAGCTGAAAGAAGCACAAGACCGACAAAAATGCTATGTAGATAAACGTCGGAAGGAGTTAGAATTTGAAGTTGGAAACTTGGTGTATCTTAAAGCAACCACGTACAAAGGAAAGGGGCAATTTACAAAAAGAAAGAAGTTAAGTCCAAGGTTCGTTGGGCCGTACAAGGTGATCGAGCGAGTTGGAAAAGTGGCGTACAAACTTGACTTACCACCGAAGCTCGATGCTTTTCATAAGGTGTTTCACGTCTCCCAATTACGGAAATGCCTAGGTGATCGAAACGAAATCGTTACAGCCGTACCAACCGAGTTGCGAGACAATTTGACGGTGGAAGCAATACCGATTCGAATAATCGATCGAATGGAAAAAGGTACCCGGAAGAGGAAGATGATGACGGTAAAAGTCGTGTGGAATTGTGGAGGACACGAGGAATCGTCTTGGGAAACCGAAAATAAGATGAGGGCCGACTATCCTGAGTGGTTTAAGGAGATGGAAATAGAAACACTCGACTCGGATTCGGGGACGAATTGGTCGAGACTTAGTTCGAGAATGAAGGGGAAAACTCGAACAAGTCTAAACGAAGCTGACCATCAGCTCGAAATGTAGGAAAACGGAAAAGGAAGAAGTATTGATCGAACAATTCAGCTGAAAAGATCAGTTAAGCTAACTCGGCCAGCTGCCGGGTATTGGTACCAGCTCGACCTCAGCTGCCCGGAAGTAACACCAGCTCGACCAGTTGTACGGTAGTCAAAGAAGTTGTGATGTTCACTCACTGAACGAGCTAATTGGGCGGTTACCAGAAGAAGAGCGAACAAGTATCGGTGAAATGGTACGAATGGAAGAATTCCAACGAATCGGTGCAAGTGAAAGGTCATCGAACATGTGCCTTTTCGAACGGAAGGGTTTGGCCGAAACACTATAAATAGTGGGTCTCGCCCTCAGTTTTGGACACGTTCGGAAATCTGGAAATACTTATATTCTTGAAGTTATCTTCGAGAGAAATACTAAGGAATGTCAGAATCCGATAAAAGGTTAACACCAGAGACCATAAGATCGGTTGTGGGGGTGCATATGGGTTCGATAGTTGCATGAGCATGATCATATGCATAATTTTGTCCGAAAAGATTGTTCGGAGAAAAGGGGACGCGGCTTGGCGAGTGAAATCATTGATGATACTCGACCGAACTGATGCGCGGACTACCTCTCTACCGAACATTTGAACAGGCAGAGTTGTTAGTGTAACTTAGCGAGCATTGCATGCAAAACGATGGTGATTAAGAGAACATGTTACTAATTTCCTATGTGGTTTCAAAGAAAGAAGGTGATCGAGGGGATGAAAGGGCTTAGGCGCGAGGACTCAAGGCCGGGAAGATGAGTGGTGATGGATGATGGGTAGTAAGATCGATTATACAACTTGTAATAGCTTATATGCAAACTCATAAGTTGTATCGAATCCTTACTTATTAATAAAGTATTTGAATGGTTAATTTACTCTCTATATGCATATGACTCTAAGTAATGAATCTCAGCGTTATTATAAATTGATTGTCTAAGTAATGGACCCTAAAACTTGGTTAAGTATGGAAAGTTTGTTATTAGGTCGAAAGTAACCTCTCTGGACTTAGAATATCCGGGATGGGGTCTTTCAGATTTCTTGTTAGGTTGTTAGATTGTTAGGATTTAATCAATATAGTTCTTTATCTAGATTGTGGTTAATTTGTTATAGACTAGTGAAAGCAACCTAGAATATGATCTTAGGTTAATTGGTAGACACGAAAGTGATATGATCATGCCTAGCACATCGAACTTGGAACTTCACAAAGAGCTTGTAGCCGAGGAGGAGCTTGAAGCAGAGGAGCAGCTCGAAGCTAAGGAGCCGTTTGAATCAGATAATGAGCTTATAGCGGAGAAAGAGTATGGAAAAGATGTTATCATAACCTCACTGGTTTTGATACATGATCACCAAATGGGAATGTCTCTCATTTGTACTCTTTTTCCCTTGTCAATTTTTGTCCCAATGGGTTTTCATGACAAGGTTTTTAATGAGGCAAATGATTCACATTCAAATCACCCATTTTTTGATCCAAACCATGACAATACATTCAGAACTTGGCCGAATGGAATATATATCAAGTCCAGCTTGTTTTGTGCATATTACAAGCCCAAGAATAGCCCAAACCAAGTGGGTAATTTGCTGGCCAAGAGCAGTGACGAAAATAAGTAGTTGAAGAGTCATTTCTATTCAAACTCTATCTTTAATATTTTGTTATTTCCAAGGTAGTCTTGTGAGTGTGTTCCAAGAATTCCTTCTTCTTTATAAACCCCTTGTAATCTATTTTGAGAACTCATCTATCTTTTTATCAAAAACTCTCTCTTAAAAATAGATCATGGATCCATTTTCGTATGTCGAATTTTGATCTTTCTCGACTTATCAATAGGCTATTCCGCATCCTTTTGTGGCGTGATTCCATCCATCATCTCGTCTTTGAGTCGTGTGTCGTCTCTATTTCGAGAATATCCACTTCAGATCCTCCAGGTGCCGAAATTGGGATTGATCCCTCACCAGGAACTCATCAAGTGGTATCAAAGCACACTTGGAGGTTGAGTCGTTTTTGTTTGTCGTTTTGTTTTAATTTTCATAATTATTTGGTGTGTGATAAAATTGTGAATTCAATTGCCTCTGAATCTAGAACGAGTCTAGTATTTGTTGAAATTGATTTCGGAATTTTTGAGCTATATTTGATATTTTATTTTGTCCGATCAATTCATACTGTTGTTGTTAGAGTTCTAAGAGATTTTGGAGTCATTTCAAGGGTCGTTTTATATTTGCTGTGTGAGATCATTTCTATTTCAAAAGGAACTTGTTACTAGTGTATTTTTGCTTATTTTCTCAGGTCGCAATGTCAAAATCCAAGGAGATATCAAGCCACGACCCAAACAAGCTCTTAATTGAAGCCTTTTCCGCAAAGATGAAGGGAATAATGGACAGCAAAATATATTCATTTTCTCAAGAGTACAAAAGAGCATGAAAAAGGAAGGAACAAGATCTTAAATCAAAGCCACCAGACGACACAATGAGATCAACACGGAGCAGCCCACAGAAAATTGCTCACACTCCCAAATCCAAATCTTTGATTTATCCTGAATATCATAATTTGGCTAATGAACTTAATAAATTTTCAGGAAAAAGAGACTATCTAGAGTGGGAGAATGAGATGGATGAATGGTTTTATGACAATCACATCCCGAGAGAGAAGATATTATCTTATGCACTTAGAAAACTCACGGGAGATGCTTACAGATGGTGGTTGCAAGAAGTTGATGAACGTTGGTATAACAAGGAGCCCAATATCACCTCATGGAGAGAGCTTAAGAAACTGCTAAGGAATAAGTATGCTCCACAAGCACTAGAACGCGCTCCAAAAGCCAATTCCAAAACTCAAGGGTTAGCAGTTCAAGAAAAGAAAGCAGTCGTAGTCCCAAATCAAAAGAAAACCTCAACACCCGTGGAGGCTAAGACGCAAGCTGATCTTTTTGAGGAGTTAACCAAGAACTTTAAAAATCAGAAAATGGAGGCTAAATCAACATCTCAACCAAAGAAGGTCCCTGAACAAATTGTAGTTCACAAGCAAAGCCGACAACTATCAATTAAATCAAGCGGTGAACCAAAGCAATGTAAGTCTTCTATTGTTTCAAAATCCAGGGGAGTTACTTGTTATAACTGTCGTAAGAAAGGACATTTAGTTGCAACTTGCCCTGAAAAACTTGAGCTTACTAATACTTCATTAGAATCGAAACTGAGCTCACCAAACTCAAGTAGTGAAGTAATTTGTCGAGGTTTAGAAAATTCCAGTTCTTGTGTCATGCACTTGTTCTTGTCAAAGAATGTTGATTCAGGTCATACATCGAAGCATGAGAATGACAAAACTGGAGAAGCCATAAAGGAGAGACCAATTTGTCTCGAGAAGGAAATGTCTTTTCAAAAGCCAGAACCAAAGCAACTGTTACCAATCTGCAAAGAATTCATGATGCTGCAAGAAAGTGATGTGAACAACATCAAAGAGAACATGGAGATTCAACTACATCTAGCAGTTCAAGATCAGGAAAACGTAACTCGCAAGGAAGAGCAAACTGAAAACAAAACAATGGAGCAACTTGCCTTACCCAGGGAGTTCTTAAAAGCTAATTGTGATATTCCTTTTATTCAATCAAATGTTGCGTCTGAAAAGACTTGTGGAAAACTAACTAGCTTAGAACCAGAGCAAGCGAGTAGTGTTGTTTGTTTTTCGCAGGTTCAAGAAAAAGAAACGTCTGAAACAACGCAAAGGAGTTGGCCATTGAGTAATAATATGGATCACACCAGCTTTGTGCCAAAACCAGTTCCTATACCATTTCCTTGTGACTACACACGAAATCACTGTAAGGAAATTGATATGGTTAGGAAATATCCTAATTTGTTTGTGTTGATTTCTGCTCAAGATGAAAAACGTTTTGGTTTAGAAAATGCAAAGGAATTTTGTGTTTCAAAAACTGCTTTTGATAAAATCATTCCGACTTTTGAAACTCTCACACTTGAAATGTTATTTGAGCCAAAAGGTTTTCTCTTCGATGAGTTTTTTGAATTGAATTCTTCTTTGAGAGATTCTTTGTGTAGCAATGAAATTGAGATGTTCAGAACTAAAACTGAGAATGTATAGGTTAAATATTTTTCTGAAATGTTTCATTTGCTTGAAAATGTGCTGTGTGAATCAATTTTGTTCAAAGAGCTATGCAAACCAACTATGAAAGATCATGTTATTGATTTCTCTATTCCAAGTATCATGCATTTGTTCTGTCCCATAAGTGCTCAGAAAGGAACAGGTGACATGGAAAAGTATAAGTACTTTAGAAAAGCACTCACGTGTTTTATTCAAGTCAAAGAGAATCTACCAGATAGCTACAAAAGAAAGACTTATCATTGTGGAATTTGGAGCTGGAAGTACCTGAGGAAAACAACTTCAATCGCCCAAGGATGCTTCATTCTAAGATTCTACTTTCATTCTAACTGCTTAATGTTTTTCTTTGTGTCTAAACTGTTTCCTTTTGATGTAGGAGATCTTGCCATCTTACAGTCAAACTCGAATCACCAAAAAGTAGTCAAGCCTTCTTCAAGGTTCAAAGATAAACCGCCAGATGCAATACTTGTGCTCAAATACAACTATGATTAGATAAGTATCTTTATTCTCAAGGATTCTTTTTTCCAAGATTACACAGAGTTGATTCGCTTTTCTTTGTCAAAAGAGCCAAATGCTGTTTTTAAGGCACTCTTCAAGCGCTTGAGAAGAACTGAAACAAGAGAGGGAGACAATCGGTTTAAGCCACCCAATATGGACCAGAATAAACACCAAGACATGAGTGGTTTCATTCTGATCAAAGAAGTACCACCCGATGCAACATACAAGTTAAAGCCGAGCTTCAAAAAATTTGGAGGGAGAAGATATCAAAAGGCGGAGAACATGACCGTGCAAGATTATATGCTGCGACATTCTGAGTTCTCATTGTGCAAGATAGCCTCTAGAGAGGATGAGTTGGTCATCACCAACGCACTGATCAAAGAAGAACCCCCAGATCCAAATATGATGACAAACACCAAACATGTCAAAGATCCTATCCATGTAAGTAATTCCTCGACTCGATTTATTTCTCATGATTTAAGGGCTATGATTATAATTTTATTACATCAGGAAATCATTGGGAATAAATTATGCTTATTGAAAGAATATTTGGAATCAAATTATTGTCCTAAGGTGCAACTAAAAGATGAACATTATGAGGATATTGATTTAGTCCAAGCTGAGATTTGTTTGCATGTTTATAATGACTTCATGACTGTAATAATACACTTGTTCTTGGTCAAAGGTGTTGAAAACATTGCAGGTACAAAAGAGGAGCCACCAGATTTAGAAGTTCTCTCACTGAATCTCTTTGTGAGGACAGGAATTGGAGATGTTTTCACGCAGTATAAGAAACCTTATGCTCGTTTCAAGATGATTTTTGAGGTTGGAGAACAAGTATGGGTACACTAGAGGAAGAAAGGATTTTCAGCTAAAAGGGAATCCAATCTAATCCCAAAGATCGATGGTCAATTCAACATAGCAAGCCAAATCAACAACAAAGCTTATGAACTTGAGCTGCAAGGTAAGTTTAATATGAGTTCCCGTTTAAAAGTTATTGACTTGGTTCTTTTTATTGTAGATGAATTGGATTTGAGGTCAAATCCTTTTCAAGAGGGAGAGGATGATATGATCATGCCTAGCACATCGAACTTGGAACTTCACAAAGAGCTTGTAGCCGAGGAGGAGCTTGAAGCAGAGGAGCAGCTCGAAGCTAAGGAGCCGTTTGAATCAGATAATGAGCTTATAGCGGAGAAAGAGTATGGAAAAGATGTTATCTTAACCTCACTGGTTTTGATACATGATCACCAAATGGGAATGTCTCTCATTTGTACTCTTTTTCCCTTGTCAATTTTTGTCCCAATGGGTTTTCTTGACAAGGTTTTTAATGAGGCAAATGATTCACATTCAAATCACCCATTTTTTGATCCAAACCATGACAATACATTCAGAACTTGGCCGAATGGAATATATATCAAGTCCAACTTGTTTTGTGCCTATTACAAGCCCAAGAAGAGCCCAAACCAAGTGGTAATTTGCTGGCCAAGAGGAGTGACGAAAATAAGTAGTTGAAGAGTCATTTCTATTCAAACTCTATCTTTAATATTTTGTTATTTCCAAGGTAGTCTTGTGAGTGTGTTCCAAGACTTCCTTCTTCTTTATAAACCCCTTGTAATCTATTTTGAGAACTCATCTATCTTTTTATCAAAAACTCTCTCTTAAAAATAGATCATGGATCCATTTTCGTATGTCGAATTTTGATCTTTCTCGACTTATCAATAGGCTATTCCGCATCCTTTTGTGGCGTGATTCCATCCATCATCTCGTCTTTGAGTCGTGTGTCGTCTCTATTTCGAGAATATCCACTTCAGATCCTCCAGGTGCCGAAATTGGGATTGATCCCTCACCAGGAACTCATCAAGTGGTATCAAAGCACACTTGGAGGTTGAGTCGTTTTTATTTATTTTCTTTTTCTTTTTAATTTTTTAATTAAAAACACTCTTGTTTAGCTTAATTTGATACCAATATCTATAGTGTAATCGTTGAGTCTCGGTGGATTCGATCCCTAAGTACTACAATCATCTCTTAATAGAGAGAGTAGCTCCGGACAAATTTTAACCAATCCGTTTCTTTCCAATATGGCAAGGATTATGCTGAAACTTTTAGTTCGGTAAATAAATGTACAACAATTTGTGTTGTTCTTGATGTTGCTGTTAACAACTCATGGCCTATCAAGCAACTTAATGTCAACAATGTGTTTCTTCAAGGTGAACTTACTGAAGAAGTTTACATGTCTCAGCAAACGGGTTTTGGTTATAAAGATAAACCTACTTATGTGGGTATGTTAAAAAAACCAATCTATGGACTCAAGCAAGCACCTCGCGCATGGTATATGGCTCTCAAACAATATCTCCTTCCAACCGGCTTCGCAAATTCTCTTGCAGATGCATCACTGTTTATTCGTGGTTCCGGGTCTAGTATAACAATTGGCAATCCTCACAAAGGCAACAACAACAACCGTTCCTTTAAACCCTACTTAGGCAAGTGCCACCTGTGTAACACACAAGGACATAGTGCTCGTCGATGTCTGCATCACCTCTCTCTCCAGTCCAACTCCAACCGTAATAGCAGCTCATTCACTCGATGGCAACGCGTGCGAACATGGCTGTGATGGTTAACAATGGAGCCACACACCACATTACAACTGATTTAAACAATCTCTCGCTACATCAACCTTACAACGGTGGAGACGACCTCATGATTGATGATGGCTCTAATATGTCCATCATTCGTGCTTTAAAATTAGATAAAATTCTTTGTGTTCTTGATATACATAAAAAAATCTCGTCTCTATGTAGAATTCTTTCTTGCCTCTTTTCAAGTGAAGGATCTCAATACATGAGTCCTGCTACTCCAAGGCAGAACGAATGAAGAGTTGTATGAGTGGCCAATTGTTAATCCTAAAGTAGTGGCAATGCTATCTTCATTAGGTCCAAAAACAAATCTTATCTAATGGCATTCTCGATTAGGCCATCCTTCTTCTTCAGTTTTAAACACCATTATTTCTTCTTTTTTACTTCTTGTTGCAATTTCTACTCAAAAAGCTTTATCTTATTCTGATTTGCCTTATTAATAAAAGTCATAAAACTTCCATTTTGTCAAACCTCCATTGTCTCAAAACGCCCTCTTGAATACATATTTTTTGATGTTTGGACCTTTTCAATTTTATCTCCCCAAAACTACAAATATTATCTTGTTCTTTATTGACCATTTTATTCGATACACATGGCTAAATCCGCTGCAAAGAAGAAATGTGACAATGGGCCAGCCTAACCATGGTCTATTAAACAATTCTCAGGCCCATTTACAACAACCAGCCAATTTGCAACAACCAGCCCAACAACAACTCTCATCTCTTTCATCGTCTTCTTCCTCTGTATCTAACGCCACAACAACGCCATCGTCGTCATCAATTTTGGGACCCCCGGAATCTGACCTTCACCGGCCTGCTCTATCATCGTAAACATCCTCTCCATCTCAGGTATTATATACTATCCCTACACCTACCTCTCCTCCCTCTCTGAATTTGGAGCCCACTGCTCATGTTCAAAATGAGTCTAGACCCATGACTCAGCCAAACCTCCAGTCTAATGAGCCTACAGCTCCACCACAAAATGAGTTACGACCCTCAACTCAGACCCAATCACCACAAATCCAACCACCAAACTAAGCTATTTTATTAAGACCACATAACTAAAATCAAAACATTGAGCCACCAGAAATTGTCCACAAAATGATAACTCGAGTAAAAATTAATATACACAAACCTAACCCCACACGTGGTCTTATGGTTACTGCTTGCAGGTTAATAACAAAAGAACCAACAACAATCTTTCAAGCCTTGAAAGACCCGAATTGGAGCCGTGCATCTTCGCTTGAGTACGATGCATTAGTCATTAATCGTACATGGGATATAGTTCCTCAGAATGCAACGCAAAATATTATTGGCTGTAGATGGGTCTTCACAACCAAATATCTTGCTAATGGAGCTCTAGATCGCTACAAATCTCGTCTTGTAGCTAAGGGGTTTGTGATACCTCATGGTTTTTACGGGTTTTTGGCCATGATATAAGTCTTGTTTATAGAGCTTTTATAGTGTTTTCGAGTCTTTTGAGTCATTTCAGGATTAGGATATATTTGGCATGGATTGGAGCATAATGGAGCTTTTTGGAGCAATTGGGAGCATTTAGAGAAGATGTGCCGAAGAAACGCACTAGGAGAGCATATTTGGTGTGTGTGTCAATTGACGAAACTACTCGTGTTTATCGACACCAATTTCTGACGGCAATTGAATTACACGTTTAGTTGAAGTTTGAAAGATTTGCAGATTCGGCCCATAATTTTTCCTTATTTGCAATTAAGCCCAGTTCGTGGTTTAGACATATATATTTAGTTGTCAGGGTTTTGTTAAGACTTAACCTTTATTATTTTTGACAGAGAGATCTGTAGAGAGCTAGGAGAGAAGAAAATTCACCCCATTCAGA